CCTGTTAACATTGGGAAAAGAGCAGCCTGGTCGTGTTTGTCCTCCTCCTTCTCACTTTCCTTGCCCAGATACAGACTCTAGTGAAGTTGGGGGAGACCTTTCCCTTGTGTTCCACTGACCTGGAGCTGGACTCAGTAGTGCACTACGCATCCTCTTCCCCATGACCTCATCCGGCTGCTTTTTTAGGAATACTGACTCTGTGGTAATTCTTTTACTCTTCAGCATTGCCTCCAGAATTCAAAGAAGACCTGAAGGACGTAGAAGGTGTGGAAGGTGGGACAGCAGCTCTGCACTGCGAGCTGAGCAAACCTGCTGAGGTGGAGTGGAAGAGAGGGCAGGAGGTGCTCAAAGCCAGCAGCAAATACAAAATGAGCCAGGCTGGTGCTGTTGCAAAGCTGCTTATCCATGAGCTGGATGTGAAGGACACTGGAGATTACACCTGTGTGTGTGGAGATCAACAGTCAACTGCTACTTTGACAGTCAATGGTAAAATAAAAAATTCAAAAAGAGGGCAAAGAAGGGAAGAATTTATAATAGAGTCAGAAAAGAAAGCTGTAGATTAGTATCACTTATGGAGAAGGCTTGGCTACAATTCCTAATGAAGATTTTGAGGATAGGATGGTCTGTACAGCCCAACAGAGTGACCAGGTTGAAAATGGGAATTGCAGTGCAGAACTAAATGCACTTTTTCTGTATGTTACTTAATAGTAATCTCTTCCGCAAGTGCCTTCCTGAAGAGGGAAGCTGAACTCTTACAACTCCCTGCTGACCTTCAGAATGGAGTGTCCTCCATGGTCAGGGCAACATGTTGGCTACTCTTATAGCAGGAAAAAGATTCTGCCATTTTTAGGTCATAGAGTAGATTAGGCTTGTACGTAACTCATGGCAAATATAACTTCTTGTATCAATTTCTTCTTGTTGTGCAGATATTCCTATTGCCTCTCTGGGGAAATAGCCTTGTACTTTGAATCTAGAGCACTGAGGCTTAGAGACATCTGCAGAAAAGTTCTTTTGGTGCTTTTATTCTTTTTTCTACTTTCTCTTTCCCAAACCCCAACCGTAGTATGTTGCAAGTTATTATTTCTATTTTATAGCCCTACCAGCACTTTTCAAACAAGAGCTTGAGAATACCGAGGCAGAAGAAGGTGGTACAGTCACGCTGAGGTGTGAGCTTACCAAGCCCAAGGCTCCAGTAGAGTGGAGGAAAGGAGATACCACGCTCTACCCTGGTTTGAAATATGAGATGAAGCAGCAGGGCTCCACTGCTGAATTGGTCATTTATGACTTAGAGCTGGATGATTCAGGAAAGTACACCTGCGACTCTGGACATCAGCAGACAACGGCTGTGGTAACCGTGCATGGTAGGCAGACCACTGACCCTTGGCTCAATAGAGACGAAGTGAAAGGAGCACCTCTCGGTGTTCTTTGCAGTCATTTATTTATTTGTTTTGCTGCTGGTCCATGCTAGCACACATATTCTACTTGAGCATGGTCTAGTTAAAAAGGTTCTTCTTGCAGTATCTGGAGAGATTAATCAGCATCAAAGCAATTAAATGTTGTCACGATGTCAAAATACAATGAACCTTCCCATGGGAGTGTGGCTACACATGGGAATGGATAACAGAAAATAAGCCAGGCAGGCTGATGGTTATTTTGGCTTGTTGATTGCTTTGGTAGACACGAGGGATGCCTAATTGGGCATATTGCCTGACTGGGAGGATAAGAGATGCAACAACTGGGGATAAAAGGTTTCTCTACAATGTGAATGTGCTCTGTTATTACTTGAGGTGTGGAGCCTCAGGTGTAAACTTTGCAGACAACTGCATCGGTGTCTGTTTTCCTCCACCCCTTCTACCATCCAGAGCAACACTGCTTGAAATCTGAATTTCCTCTTTCATTTATCACTTTATTGTCATCTTTTACTGTACTACCTCTTCTTTCGTTCTGAAGGCCAAGATGATCTTTTATATGCTGATAGCAGCTTTATTTGGGGAAGAGGGGAGAATACTTTTCTTTTAATATTGCGAACTCACAGACCTTTATGAAGGAACAAGGGTCTGTGTAAAAGACAGCAGTGATCCCAGTGATCTTTGGCTAAAGCAGCCGTAGTTGGCATGGAGACACTTCTATAGGAACATCTGACTACTTCAGGTCACACACCAGGCCATTCTATGGACCACTTTCTATGACCAGATCTTTCCTACCTTTGCCATCTGTCCTCAGCTCTTGGTTCATGTAATGGTTCATGAAAGATGCTACCAAGGCAGAGACTTGCAGCCCAAGGATTATGGGATCATTAGGATAGGCCATTTCTGAAGAATGATGGTAGGATTGGGTCCTTTTGGGACTAAAACACTCTTAAAACATTTCCCTCTCAAATTTTGCAGCACTGCCTGTTACTTTTAAGCAACCCTTACAAAATAAGGAGTCAGAGGAAGGAAGCACAGCTACATTCTGCTGTGAGCTGTCGAAACCCAACGCTGCAGTGGAGTGGAGGAAAGGAGGAGTGGGGCTGCAGCCCAGCCAAAAATACGAAATGAGGCAGAGGGAATGCCTGGTAGAGCTCTTAATACATAATCTGAAATTAGAAGATACAGGAGAATACAGCTGTGATACTGGGGATCAGGAAACCAAGGCTTCTTTGAATGTGAAAGGTAGGTGGTGTGAGCTGACTCCTAAAGCAACAGAGTCCATCCAACATGCAAAACAACAGTTTGAATATGAATATTAAGCACGCCATTTTTTCCCCTATCAATACTTTTCAGCTGATATACTAGGATTTCTTTTTTTCCAATGAGAATGGAAGAGGATGGTACTTTAGTCTTCCAGTGCTGTGTTTGAATTTTGAGTTAGAAGAAGAAATACTTTCTAGCTTTAAGGCTGGGGATAAATTAAAGAAAGATAAATGCTTTAAAATAATGTCTGGCTATTTCACGTGATGTGGTTTAAGTACTGAAAAAGGGATTTTCTTCCAAATCCTGGAAGAAGATTGGCAACGACCTTCCTGATCTGCCAAGGCTGTCATGGGGTTTTGAACTTCTTTACTCTCGAGATGATTGTTAGATGAACTAAAGGATAAATTCATTGAAAGAATTCAACCCTGGGAAGGATGTGGGTCAAGGAACAAATGAAATCAATGTCTTAAGTGTAGATGGCTGCAAGATCTCCTCGTAGCTCCAGGCAAATTAGAAAAGATGGATCCTGCCTGGGAATACAGCACTTGAAAAGCACACTCTCTTGTTCTCCGAAGTGTGAGTCTAACTGTGTTAACCAGGACTTGACTCAGGTTTCAATAAAAGCTCCTCTTGCTTCTTTTTTCCCCTTTAGCTCTGCCAGTTCTTTTCAAAAGAGAGCTCAAAGACAAGGAGGTAGAGGAAGGAGCTGCGGTGAAATTCCAGTGTGAGCTGACGAAGGGTAACGCAACCGTGGAGTGGAGGAAAGGCACCATGGAGCTCTTCCCATGTGCCAAATATGAAATCAAATTAAGTGGTCGCACAGCTGAGCTGGTGATTCATAACGTAGAACCAGAAGATGCCTCTGATTACACGTGTGATACAGGAGACCAGCAGAGCACAGCAGTCCTCAGAGTGAATGGTTAGCATTGCATCAAAAAGAGGATTAAAGGGATTTGTGAAATCGTGTGGATGATGTTATGTTATTCACTGATGGATAAAGTATCCCAAAAGTTAAGATAAAGAGGAAAGCAGGTGCCCAGTCATAACCCAGAATACAGAAAAGTGGATCTTACGAGACGGGATTTGTAGAATGGCTATTTAAGCCTGGAAAGCAGTGTACAGTGTATTGAGTCATTTTGATGCTGATAAGAGCAAGAAACTTCATCATGGGTATTTTGAAATTCAAATAGATCTTTATTTTTGGCACTTTGTGTTCATTGGTGGCTCAGTTGACTCAATAAGTAATCATAGGTAATTTAAAAAAGCATTTAAAAAAAATCTTCTGTTTTCAACTTTTGTCATACCTTCCCATGAAGACCCTGAGAATGCCGTGTTTAAACAAGCCAGGAACGATGTCTGTGATTAATCACTGTCTGTGAAATGTCTGTGGTTGTCTCAGTCTGTTGTGTGCACCCTGTGGCTTTGACCTAAGCCACAACCTTTCAAACTACAACCTCTTGGCTGAACCTGACCCACGGAGCAGCCACTGCATCAACTATGAGTGAAAGAGCCTTGTGCTTGCTTTACCCCTATCACTATAGGGTTTAGGCAGAAGAGCCACAAGGACTGAGATTCCTGCTTTCACAACCACTCTCACACATGTGATGGATATTTCCCTTCTTGTTTTCATCAGTGAGAAGCTGTTGTCTGAGCTTTTCCATGGTCTGCTTGAATAAATGTAGCCTGCATGTGTGTGCATTGTCTGGAATGACTCACTGTTCATGGTAATGGGTCTTGAAAAGATAGCGGAGAAATCAGAGATGAGTTTTAAAGCTTTGCATCATTTATGGTGTTGGAAGTAAAAATAATTTCTATAGAAATGAACAGATTTACAATAACTTTAATCAGAAAGGACCAGATTTTTTTTTAGTAAAGCTCTTTATGTGTGTGGGACTTCCCAGTATCCAGGGCAAACATATAAAAGGTATCATGTGGATACCTTTGACTTGATGGGAAACGAATGTATTTGAGGAATCTTCTGATCTTCTTCTTGTCTGGATATACAGAACATAGATCTGTTTATAGAGTAAAAAAGAGTTGTTATTATAGTATAACCACTTAATGCAAATTTGTTCTGGAGCATCCAACCCCAGGTGCACTGTGTTGAGTTGTCCAGACCTGACATTCAAGCTAATGAATCATGCATTAATTGCTTTCCCTTTGCAGCCATCAAACCCCGGCTGAAACAGCAGCTGAAGAATGAAGAAGTGGAGGTGGGAGGAACAGCCAGACTGCGCTGCGAGATCTCCATTAGCAAAGCCCAAGTGGAGTGGAGGAAAGATGGGGTCGTCCTTCAGTCAAGCTCCAAGTACGAGATGTGGCAGGACGGCACCCTCTGTGAGCTGCGTGTTCATCATCTGGAGCCCGGTGATGCTGGGGAGTATTCCTGCAAGGCTGGAGATGAGATGAGCTCTGCAAAACTGACCGTGAAAGGCAAGACCCATTTATCGGGGCAAGGGGATTTTCACTTTAGGATGCTAAGGTTTTGCAACATAATTGTGAGAAACAATTGTGATGAAACAAAAATCTTATGGTCAATGAATGCGCTGAAGCAAAGATTCACTTGGTGGACAGGAGAGGATAAGGATAAGTGATTTTTGACTCATAGCTTGAAATATTTGCTTGACATCATGTGCATGTGAGTGAACAGATGGCCCGACCCCAGCCTCCAGTCACACAGCAGCTGCATCTGGCCTTAACGTCATTGCAGACAGAGCTTGCTCTCAGGTTGGACCACGAGCGTGGAACAACCACCGCTGGCATCTCTACAGGCTACTCAATATTAGAGATGCTCTGTGCGTTATGCCCAGCTGCAACGTTTTGAGTGCAGATGGCAACCTCGGTTGTATGGAGATGTCCTGTGTTTGCTCAGATGAAGATTGCACTGCTCTTTTGGCATTCCCCAGCAGATTTTGGAGTACATACAGCTTCTGCCTGTTGCAGGCTGAGTGTATGGTCTTTGCACAGATCTGCAGGTGCCCAGCTCTCGCAGAAGCAGGACTCAAGCAAACCAAAGTGCAGATACCCTGTGTTCATGCTAATCCAGTAAATCCTGCTGAGAGCACAGAGCCCACCAGGTCTCCAGCCAGTTTGGAGTGCCAGCAAGGAGCACACGCAATTCTGTTTGCAAAAAGACAGCAGAGGGGATCAGGTTTTAATGTTTCTGTGAAGATTTCTAGGTGCAAATGTAACAAACTAGAAAACTCGTGAAAGATTCATTCATGCCTTATTCACCCAATTACAGTATCAAACATGTAACTAAAAAAAAAATCGGTATACAACGTATCTCTGAGAAAGGGCAAGTGCTAAACCCACAAACTGGAAGATACTGGCCATGTTACCAAATGTGCTGAAAGCAGCGGAGTTCAAAACATGGGATTTGGGGGCTGAGCAACCCGCTAAAAGCTGGCCCTGCTTTGAGCAGTGGTTAGACCTCCAGAAGTCTACTCCATCCTATGTTATTTGATGATTCTGTGATTTTTATCCATGTTTTCCCTTCTATGGCTTGACTACTGATGGACTGTTTGCAGAGCCTGACGTGACCATCGTGAGCGGCCTAAAGGACATGGTGGTGTCTGAAGGGGACGACGTCACGTTTCGGTGCCAGGTTTCTCACGAGAACGCAAGGGACGTTGAATGGAAGCTGCAGGATGTTGCTCTGCAAAACAACGAAATGAATGAGATCTCGGTGGAAAAAGGAAAGATTCACACCCTGACATTAAGGAAGGTGACGGAACAGGACATTGGCACCATCACTTTCCGAGTGGGACCCTACACTTCGAAAGCAGAGCTCACAGTAAAAGGTGAGGACTCTCTGTGATGTGGAAAAGGAACAGGATTGGTGACAACAGGTGACATTTTGCTTATGCTAATGGTATATTCAAGGCCATCATTCATCCCTGGTTGTCTCATATTAGTAAGGAGCTTGTGCATCTGAGCATACATGACGGTGGTGATGTGGTCTCACAGGCTGTTGTCACCATGGATAGGCAGTGGATATGTCACCAGGATCCTGAAGCTAATTGGTTTCTAGAGAAATTACTGGGTTAGCTCCAGTAGATGGATCGACAGATCTGTAATTTTCATTGCTTCCACTTCCATTTTGCTTTTTATTCTTTGGAGCCTTTATTTCTCTAAAGACTCTTCTGAATAAATTCTCAGTCAAACATCCTTCTCCTTCCCTCTTTGAAGCTGTTGTTCTGGTCAAAGTCCCCATCTCACCTGAACCAGTTAAAACATCTGGTTTTGATCAGTACTTCAGTAACAAATATTTGTGAGTGCATTTCATCCAAAACCTGTTCGCTTGTTTTAACTTCCCAATATATACCACATAAATTAAATTATTTTTTTTAATACTTAACTGCTCAGCTGTAGCTTTAACACTGCAAGTGAACAAGATAAAGATGACTTTATCTTGTAAATGCCTTTGCTGTGTTTGTCATTTCAGTGCCACCTCCAGTCTTTAAGGAGAAATTACAGAGCACAGAACTGCAGGAAGAAGAAACAGCCGTCCTCCGCTGCGAGCTGTCCCAGCCCAATGTGGCAGTGAAGTGGAAGAAGGGTGCCCAGGTCATTTCCCAGAGCTCCAAGTACGAAATCAGGCAGGAGGGAACAATCCATACTTTAAAGATTCATCACTTAAAACCCGAAGACTCTGGCAAATACACCTGTGATAATGGAAATGAACAAACCACAGCCACTGTAACTGTTAAAGGTAGGTTGTTTAGGTTGATTTTTTGGGGCTTTTTTTTTTTTGCCTTTTAAATTTTTTTTTAGTTTTTATTTTTTAAGATGAGAAACTTGTTCCACTTCCTTAGCTTAGGACTTAGGTTTTATCTGCTGCCCTTGACTCCAGATGCACTTTGCTGGCATAAGGCAGCTGAGTCCTTTTGCTTTCAGAAGTAAAATCCTGTGATGTCCTGAGCAATGAACATGGAGGGACCCAAGTGAAGCAACTGCTTCCATGGTCCTAGACCCAAAAGACTCTTTCTGGTCACTCAGAAAACCAAGGCTGGAGCTAAAATTAAAATGAGACCAATTTTGGTGCTTAACCATCCTTTGAACTGTAGTTGCACCTGGGAAAATGGTGCTCAAGAGTCAGAGTGCTCAAACTTAAATGGGTGCTCAACCCAGCTGATGGGCAAGGCACCTGAATACTTGCAGTGCCTGGGGTCTGAAAAATAGGTGTAATGTGCCAATATGTCAATCTTTTAAGATCTACTCTGATATTAATACAATCTTAAGGTAACTTTTCCTGATATGCAAGATCAGCAAAAATAAAGAGGAGCCAGGGCTTTCTTGTGAAATGCCATCTTTGGAAATACCCCTTGAGGGGTCTCCCATGAAGGGCACGCACTTGTCTTCTATCACACTAACTTCAGGATCCAGTGATACCAGAATATCTGTACTGTAAGCAGATCCTGTGATGGTGGCTGTCCGTTTGTGTCTCTATTTGTGGTCTCAGCCATTCCAGCACTCTTTGAATAAAACCTCCAAAACCAGGAAGCTGAGGAAGGCTCTGTGGTCACCCTTCATGCCCAGCTCTCCAAACATGATGCACCAGTGAGGTGGAGAAAAGGGTCAGTCTTGCTCCAAGCTAGCAACAAGTATGAGATGAAGCCTGTAAATGACGTAAATCAACCCACTAAAACTCCATCTTGACCCATCAGTGGTACACATCAGTGCAGAGACGTCCAGAGTTCATCTCTCTTCTAGGTCCAGTTTTCAAATGAGGGGCATTTTATAATGGTGTTTCTCCATGCGCCCTCCCAAATACCCAGGAACTTTGATTATTAGGTGTAGTTTTTTGAGCTGTGCCTTTCATACCCATTTGGAGATACAGCATTTAGATACTCAAAAGCCCATGTCCATGACCACTCCTGTGTAAGAAGGAATATATTCCCAGAGGTGATTGATGTGTGTGGTGCCCAGTGACTCTTAGGGAGTGCAGTGTGCTTAATGCTCCTGGAAATCCAGCACTTTATGTCATTCCTCGTTAGAGTCTTAAAGTAATTTTGGAGTTTGAACCAAATTCGGAATGGCACCAGTTTCATTAAATGCAAGACTTAGTGACACTGTCAACAATGAAACCTTTTTTTTCCTCTGATTTATCTCGGTTTAGCTTTGCCAGTAACCTTCACACAACCACTCCAGAACCAGCAAGCTGAAGAAGGCGGCACCGTTACTCTGAGCTGTGAAATCTCAAAATCAAATGCCTCTGTGAAGTGGAAGAAGGCCGGGACGGTGCTGCGACCAAGTGACAAATACAAGATGCGTCAAGCTGGCTCCGTGACTGAGCTGACCATCTGCAACCTGAGCGGAGCCGATGCTGGGGAGTACACGTGCGACACAGGGGACCAGCAAACCACTGCAGCTGTGCTCGTGAAAGGTGGGGCTTGGCGTGGGGAAGAGCTGAACAGAGCTTGGTACCGTGGCGGGGGCACATGGTTAAGTAATTTGACAGCTTGACATTGGCCTGTGCCCAATGACTATCATGAGGGTCTCAGAGACAAGCATGATTTCAGAGGGATAAGAACTGGCCAGCTATTTTATTGTATTATTGGGAGTGAAAAATAGGCCTTTAGTCAATGATTCTGTGGTTTAGTGTTAGCGTCACTGACTAAAATCTGTTGGCAATGTTTTCACAATACATTGCATTATAAATATATAGGTTATATTTATTATATGCACAATACAGTATAACATGCATACTTTATAGACTGTCATATATATGTGCATAATATATATGCAACCATACATGCATAATGCATCTGTAAGAATCTAACATATTACTACATGCTCATGTATGTACATTTTCATATATTTAGTGCTCAGTGCTTTGTGGTTGTTCTTTCAACGATTGGACTCAATGATCTTAGATGTCTCTTCCAACCTTAATGACTTTGTGATTCAAATAATGTAGTACTGTCAAGAAAGAGCGTAACAAAATATTTAACCCAGAAAACATCACTTGAAAGTACGTAACAAACTCTGTTGACCTTTCCATAAAGAACCAGCAGCAACCATAGTGGAGGCACTGAAGGACATCACTTTGCATGAAGGTGAAGACGCGGTGTTTGAATGCAGGCTGTCCCGGGAAACAGCTCAGGATGCTCAGTGGTTCCTGGGGGATGTTCCCCTGCAATCCAATGAGATGAATGAGATCAAAGTCCAAGGGACACGTCACACTTTGATCCTGAGGAAGGTGACACTGGAAGACTGTGGGTCCATCAGTTTTAAAGTCGGGGAGCATTCCTCAGCAGCACAGCTAATGGTCCAAGGTGAGCAGCCTCCCAGGAAGAGGGATTTAGAAGGTGCTGGTAAGCACTGTCAATATTGCTTTAGCTTCTGGAGAGGTTTATGTAGAGAGGAGAGGTCTCTGGAAATCTTGGGAAATTTGGTTTACCTAATTTAGGCATTTAAGAGATAAATGTGTACATCTGAGCTAGTCATTTCAGTCCTTTTTTTACAGTCCATGGAGTGAAGCAGGACCATTCAACTTATCATAAGACAAGCAGCTAAGATATGTCAGCATCAGTGCTGAAGAATGCCAAGAAGATGCTCTGAACTAACCCCATACTTACGAAGTTTTTAGGTCATATCTACTCCAAAAAAAGATCCAAAACCTCTAAAAAAAAAAACCTTCCAGAAACTGTCCAAAACCTCTGCAAAAACTTCCACTAAGTTCTATAGAATGATTCTGAAAGATGGGCCATGTCAGTATTCAGTTCCTGAAGGGGTCCTGCAGAAAAGCTGGGGAGGGACTTTTCAGAAGGGCAGGTAGTGATACGACAAGGGGTAACGGTTTTAAACTGGAAAAGGGGAGATTTAGGCTAGATATTAGAATGGGTGGTGAGACACTGGCCCAAGTTGCCCAGGGAAGCTGTGGATGCCCCCTCCCTGGCAGTGTCCACGGCCAGGTTGGATGGGGCTTTGAGCAGCCCGGGCTGGTGGGAGGTGACCCCCTCATGGCAGGGGTTGGACTGGATGAGCTTTAAGGTCCCTTCCGACCCAAACCATTCTGTGATTCTGTGATTCCAGTACCTTATCTTGTTTTTTCCTCTGTGATCTGGTTCACAATGTACCTATAGGCACCCAGTTCTGATCTGGGGGCAACGCCAGATCAGGCAGTTGCAGCAGTGTTGATACCCTCTTTCCCACAGTTGCTCCAGTTGCCTTTGTAAAGGCTCTCCACAGCTTGGAGCTGCAGGAGGGTGGCACAGCTCACTTGTCCTGCGAGGTGTCCAAGCCTGATGTCCCGGTTGAGTGGAAGAAAGGCACATCCGTCATCCGCTCCAGCCAGAAGTGCAGCATCAAACAGGAGGGGACCGTGCACACGTTGACCATTCATGACTTGAACCGTGCAGACTCAGGGGAGTACAGCTGCCACACAGCTGATGAGAAGACCACTGCCCGACTAGAGGTGAAAGGTATGGTTTCCTCTTTGCTCAGCAGTGGTCAGAGGTGTGCATGTCAATTTTTGGATGCAAGATGGGCATTGAGGTAGTGGAGCAAGTGCAGCATTAGCCACCAAGTTTGTCATGGGGCTGTAGCCCATGAAGTATAAGGAGAGGTTTGGGTAGCTGGGTTTGTTCAACCTGGGGAGGAGATGGTTGAGGAAGGACCTTGTTGCTGTCTTGTGGCAGAGTAATTTCCATCTGTGGAAGACCTGCAGGGGTCCCTTCAGCCTTAATTATTCTGTAATTAACCCCTGGCTGCATGATCTTAAGTTGTTCTTAAAATGGTGCAGCCTCGGGTCTGGTGGGTATTCTTTGAGTACTTTTATCCCACTCTGTGGTTTTATTTTGGGGATGAAAAACTCTCCAGGTTTCAGAAATAATTAAAGTCAGTTGGGAATTCTTTGTGAAAAGAAGTCTAGGATATGAGGAAAGAAAGGCAGCTATTGTAGAACTGAATTCTTTCCTGCTGGTTAACTCCTCTTCCTCCTCCTATATCTGGCTTACACCTTGACATCCCTGCCCCTCACAGGTCTCCTTAGGTAAATGCAGCCAGAATTGTGCATGAACTTCACAAATGGCACTATCAGTACCTTAAAAATAAAGCACTCCTCCATTTTCTATTTTTCCCTCACCTGTTTTTCCTCTCGGCGCCATTCTCCCCTTTCAAGCCCTGCCCGTGCTTTTCAAACACTGGCTGAAAAACGAGGAGGTGGAGGAAGGGCGCACGGCCGTGCTGCGCTGCGAGCTGACGAGACCCAACGCAGCCGTGGAGTGGAGGAAAGGAGATAAGGTGCTGCAGCCAAGTGACAAATATGAGATCCATCAGGAGGGGACACAGGTTGAGCTCTTCATCTACGATGCTGAGGCTCGGGATGCTGGCGATTACACCTGCGACTCAGGGGACCAGCAGACCACGGCATCATTGCAAGTCAAAGGTAAGAGAAACTTTGCTTGGAGGCTGAGAACTGATGGATGTGGTTGACCTCCACAGGGGTGATAAGGGATTTTTTATCACTGAATTATCATCAACGCTCTGGATCTGTGATTTACAACTACAGGAAAGGGTTTGATCTGCAATCTGTTCCTCAAAGAAGGTGCCTTTTAAACCCAATTCTATTTCTGCACTTGCAATTTCGATCTCTCTGTGAGAACTGGGAGCAAAACTGCAGCTGCTGCTAATGGAGGGTATGTATAAGAGCATTTAGAAAGCTTGCCTGCTCCCTGACAATAAGAAATGTGAGTATTTCACCAAACCTAGAAAGGACCATTTTAAACACAATCTGAGCAGCCCAATTTATGGCTTTTTTTCCTAGCAGCTATCATTTTGGATCTTACCATTTGACTCATTTTATACTTTTACATATTCTTTTCGTAATTAGGTTAATTTTAAAGCATCAAGATTATGGTTTTAGATCATAGAATGGTTTTAGTTGGAAAAGACCCTTAAGATCATCAAGTCCAACCATCAAACCAGCCCTAGGTCCATCACTAGATGATGTCCCTAAGCACGACATCTACTCTTCTTTTAAACACCTCCAGGGATGGGGACTCAAGTACCTCTCTGGGCAGCCCATTCCAGATCTTGAGTTTTGCCTCCATAACCAGCTCCAATTCGGAGCGTGTGTTTTCAGCAATTAAATGGCCAAATGCTGATTGGTACTGCTGTGCCTCCAACAGCTTACTTTGAATATTGTGTGTATGCCCACATGAAGCCCCTTACAGGTCCTGTGACCTATGGCAATCATTTATGTAGCAGCAATGGGCACTCTCAATGTATCAGCACCTGATTCCCATGGATGTGTGGCTATGGCACAACTCAAAGTCCTGCTCTGGGCTTGGCGTTGCCAGCAGCCAAGTTGTGCTTCAGAAAGATGGAAACAGCCAAGCCGGAGAAGTTGCAAGCAAGTTTCTCACCTCTGAGCACTGTCACTGATGCAGTTGCCTCTCCACCGCAGTGCTACCCGTGTTGTTTAAAGAAGAGCTGAAAAACGTTGAGTCTGAAGAAGGGGGAACGGCCGTCCTGCGCTGTGAGATCTCCAAGCCGGAAGCCCCCATTGAGTGGAGAAAAGGAGGAGTGGTCATTCAACCCAGCGACAAGTACGAGATGAAGCTGAAAGGCAGCGTTGCTGAGCTGATCATCCACGGTGTAGAGCCTGATGACTGCGGCGATTATACCTGTAGCACTGGCGACGAGATCACCACAGGTTCAGTGTATGTGCAAGGTACGGTGAAATGGGGTGGAAACGCCCTGATTTTGCTGCCTGGATTTCTTATTCCAAAATCTTTGGCAGTAATTGGCCAAACTTGTCTCAGATGCAAACAGCTGAAAGTCCAATCATTTCTTTTCTGATTTCAGTGATGATATAAACTCTTACATCCAGAGTAAGAGCTTGGACTAATGTTTATAATTTATAGAAATTCAAAGTACCGACCCTACTGTGTACCATAGCAAATGGTGGTACTGCTGAAAATCCATTTGCTTGGAGCAGTGGTTGCAAAAAATACTGAACTTCTTGTTATTGCTGATTACAGCTTCTATCATTGATACTCTTATTATTCTTTTAAAGGATTGTAAGAAAATTTTTAAAACTTAAGCTACCTCTCTGCCTCCCACCTCATACAATGTCAGTGTAGGTGGTTGTAACGCACGGGAGAGCACGTCATAACCTGGTCATGGAGTAGAGATTCCTCCCAATTAAACAGCATTTGCAGACACAAATGCAAAGCAGGTGAAGGATGGAAGGTGATGCCTTAATCCCTTAAAGAAAATTTAAGCTCTTTTTTTCCCCGGAACAGCATCACAAGTCTAGCTGTCCTGGACAACTTGCAGTGTCATTTGGGCTAGTTCTGCAGGAAGAGACATGAGTATGTTTATGCTTTTGTGTTTCTTTGGCACCTTCTCTCACTCTGTTATACAGAAGAAGCAGCAGTGATAGTTTCTGGTTTAAAGAACACAGACGTCTTTGTGGGTGAGTCGGCCACGTTCACCTGCGAGCTCTCGTACCCGGGCGTGAAGAACGTGCAGTGGTGGCTCGATGGATCTCCCCTTCACAACAACTTTGTGACTGAAATCTCTGAGCAGGACGGGATGATCCACACTTTAACCCTCAATGACGTGGCCTGCCATGACTCAGGCACAGTCACCTTCAGAGCTGGGTCCCTTATATCTTCTGCTAAATTATTAGTCAAAGGTATTTCACTGCCAGAAAGACACACGTGGCCACCTCTGGACTTGCTCAGTGCGCTAGTGCTTCTGCCTTTCTGGCTACCCTTACTAAATCCCTTCACAGTTCTTCTGTGTCCTGCAACCCTCCACCTCTGCAAGTCACCCATACTTATGTCAGAAATCTTACAGGTACAACCACATCAATTTTTTGGAATGGTTCAGGTGAGAAAGGGTTGCAGGGTCAGGGCTGCTGCTCTCACCTGGGATCTAAGTAGAGTTCAACATCAATCACTGTGGTAGCGCCTGATTTTTTTCATAATTCCCCCCTTCAACTCTTTTTATAATAACACAAAATACGCTGTAGCTGTAAATTCACAAAATTACCACTGTGCTGCTCCATAGTTAGGCAACTGGTGCAGAGCTCTGTATATTCTCAGGACAAGACTTTGAGCTGTTATATTCTCAGCTCCAGAGCTCTTTCTGGAAGTCAAAGGGTAGGTGACATTGGGTCAAAACAGTGACAAAATGAGTGGTGATAAGAAGTGACCACCTCATTTGTTGACTGCCAGAATAGTAATGGTCATCACTGCACTATAAAAGCTTTGTGGTCTGTTCAATAAATATTTTTCTTGTTTGGTAAGGGTAGCCACAAGCCGCAAATAACACTGAGCTCCAGACTTGATGAAGCAAGCGCCTTCACATCCAATCCTTTTAAAACCATTGGGAAAGGTTGTTATTTTTCAGACAAAAGCAATATGTATTCTTGCTTGGAAAAGAGATTTGTATATGTGGAGATATAAAAAGTAAGGAGTTCTTTATTAATATCAACCCCCACACTATATCTGTCTATCATGACAGGAATGATCTACGATATGCAATTGTAGTCAGCGAATTATGTCTTCTTCTCTTTATAATGCGTCCCTTGTACATTCAAAAAATTCAACTCTGCAAAAATAAAATGCCAAATCACTTCTTCCTAACATCAGAATGATGCAGCAACAACATAGTGTGCAAACCCCACAAATTCTGTGTCCATTTGTATCAATTTTGAGTTTCGTATTTTCAGAGACAAGACCCGGTTCTGAGCTCTGTAGGCAAAGATATCCAGTGGGCCTAAAACATAAATTAAAAAGAAATGCATCATTAGATATTCTACTCAGTTAAATATAGGGCTCCTGAGAAGTCTTCACTTCTCAGAATCACAGCATTGTTGTGCTTCTATTAAGGCAGGTAATGTGAACCTGAACCACAGTAGTATATGACTATAATTGGATTAGGATGAGAAAGGTATTTAAAAAACACCCCAGTTACACCCTGCTCGAGAACACTTGACTAAATAAGAAAGTAAAACAGTAGTAAAATTCTAACTGTGCTTGTATTAACAGGCAATTTCATGTACTTTATTTTGTTCAGAAATCTAAAACTGGATCTGTCTTCACAGTAGCCATATTTCAGTCTATCCAGCTTGTTCTCCATCAAGAAACAAGTTGTCTTTCTCTCTCTTCCATGTGCCCCATCCTCCTGATGTAAGGCATGCTTGTAACTGGGTATATTTTGTTAGACGTGAGATCTTATCATAGCTTTTCTTTTTGGGCCTTCACGATGTCATTGCCCTATGGCTGCACTCATTCAGTGGCCCAGCATGGCAGCATCTTCACATACAGGCAACGGGAAAAGGAAAAGGTTGAAGGAGATGCCGTCTTCTTCTGACCTCCTTGGGCATGGTGAGAATGCCAGGCCCAAGGTACACGTTATCTCCTAAATCCCAAGGAGCTTTCTGCCATTGTGCATGGTTGAATAAGGCCAGCAGTGGCAAAGAGCAATGGGGCAGTGGAACCAGGACACTTCCCTTCTCCAAGACCACAGGTGACATTTGCTGCGAGGAGCACATGCCCTCATCTTATGAAGGAGGATGGCAGTGTACTCCCCATCTGCACAAATACCTTCTTGCTTCTTCAGCCCTGGTGTAACCAAAACATCTCCATGATCTGCCATTGATGCCTCTTCTCTGTAGACACACACACAGACAGATGGAGTGGTAAAGGGAGCCTTAGAGAGCAGGATCAAGCCTTGCAGCAGCTTTCCAAAAGACATTTGCAAAACGATCGTTGCTTCCCAAGGTCTGCCAGCAGCATCCTAAATCCTCAACGTGATGCGCCATTTTCAAGAGGAGCATTCCAGACAGAGGCCCAGTGTAGTTTATTCTTGTGATCTATTTAAAATTAACGACATAGATCAGCTTTCTTTGACTGTCACATTTTTATGTCCCCTATCAGTTTTTGGGGGGAGTTGACATAGTTCTGCTGAGAAGGATGTTGCAGAGAGACTTCAATTTTCAGACTTCACTGAGGTTTTTCTGTTTAGCGTATATATCGCAAGTGGTCCAATTTGACATCTCAGAAGGGATTCCTTGGCTGTTTTTGGAAGCTCACAGTATTTTGAGGTTAGATACATCTGCTGTGTTCCACAGCTGCCTCCCAGAAAGCAGAACTAGCATTTTTAAAGAAAGTATTCGCATCTGAGTATTGCATTTCTTTCTGAAGAATGCTTGCAGTTAACTCATACAAGGAGCCTCCAGTAGGGTTTGTGGCATTTTCCTGTTGCTGTAAGGTTGAGTGCTATGAAGAACCACTCATGGCTGCCTGTCCGTTGCACTTCTCTGTCTGAGACTTATGCTCCTGCCATGTTCTGGGAAGCAGAAGTGCTTCACATCCAGTGCTTCCCAGTCTAGAGGCTTTCAGCAATGCTGGGAGGAAAACCAAACCTGGAGAGACTCCTAGCAGGTGTTCTGCACAGGAATTCACATTCACAATGGGCCTTAATTGCTGGTGGCCCATTTTCCAGTGTGGTAGTTATAGTCTAATAGTTATCACAGAATGGTTTGGGTAGGAAGGGACCTTAAAGCTCATCCAGTCCAACCCCTGCCATGGGCAGGGACACCTCCCACCAGCCCAGGCTGCTCAAAGCCCCGTCCAACCTGGCCTTGAACACTGCCAGGGAGGAGTTTTGCTTCAACCCTGCTTGATGCTGACACAAGCACAGACTAAACTGCTAATCCCCAGTATGCCCAGCAGCTCCCCGCTTGCACTGTCACTCTGCTTGCTTCCCACAGCCTCTGTGCTTGTCAAAAAAAATCTCTAAATTGCCATTTCCATGAGGATCCACTAATGCATGTCCTTCCTGACGTGTTGGTTAACAGATCCAACCATTGAAGTGGTCAGTCCCATGCAGGATATAACTGTTGATGAAGATGGCACAGCAGAGTTCATATGCCAATATTCTAGGCCAGTACACGCCATATGGAAGAAAAATGATCAGGAAATACATGCAGATGGGCAGCGAGTGATTATCATTCAGGACTGGAATGTGAGCACGCTAAAAATTAAACCTACGGTACCAGAAGACACTGGCATCTATTCTTGTGAAGCTGAAGGCACTAAAGTGATGGCTACACTTGATGTTCAAGGTGAGGTCTTCCAGCCAAAGAGGAAGACTGTCATGGGGTCCAATTAAAAGAGGTGGAAAATCATGGCAGCATCTCACACATCAGATACCCGCTCTTTGGTGTTCACTTCAGTACTGATAACGATGATAAAAGTAGTCGGAAGCTAATGGGAATTCAATGTGAAACTGCAGCATTTCACTGGAGCTTACTTCTAATTAAAGCCCACTGATTACACCACTTCATATCTCTTCTACAGTGAACTGGAACATCAGGGCAATGGGATGTGTCCTGCCGAATTATTGAAAATTGTAGATATGTTGGTCCAAAGGAATAATAAAAATACTTTTTTGCTGTTACAGAGCTTTTATAAAACACAGAGTGCCTTAAAACCTGTAGCTAACGGATAGTGTGGCATTTAATTAGTTAATTAGTTTGGTGTTTTGCTTACTTCAAATACTGATCATGCAGTAATTGCCTTCTCACTTGTCATCAGCAGCTGTTAGGGTCCTGAGAAACAGCAATTAAAAAATCAAACATAGGTTTAGGATTTTAGGTTGATGTTTCTTATTTTCTTTCCTGCTGTGCATGGAATTCTTGGTTTTGGTCAGGAGGTGAATCGGTGTGATCAGCAAGAACAGGGGTCCTGATTAGATACCTGAAATATTGTGGTTTGTTTGGCAGTTATGTTTTCTTGTCTAATCAGAGTTGTGAGTACAGACGAGCAGGGTATTATTTACTGTAATGTTTTCTACATTGATGAATGCTTTCGATTTTAAGGATTTAAAAAGATGTTAATGAACACAATCTAAAAGCATCCCAATGGAGGTAGGATTTGCAATTACCTGCTTTTCATACTTAGGGAAACCAGCACTCCAGATATGCACAAGTAAACAGCTTAGATTTATTCTAACAAAATTATCCATTCTCCAAGGATTTACAAACCCCTCATTGTCCTCTATAAGTATGAATATTAATATACACAGAATTTTTTTTTAATAATTCATGGAGGTTTTTTAATGTTGTTTTAGTTGGGGTTTTTTTGCAGAGGGAGGTGGGTTTCTTTTTTTTGGTGTTTTGGGGGTTTCTGTTGGGTTTTTTTTGTTGTTTGTCTTGGTTTTGCTGCTGTATTATTTTTTCCTTACAACAGTTCCAGATAACGGTTATAGAGCTCTAAACAGGAAT